CCGAAGACGGCGTACGATGTCTTTCGATACTTATTTGTAATAAATATTTATGTTAAAAAAATATTAGAATATTTCGGTTACGTCTATGCAAGTTTTCGAATAAATAACTCGAATGGTGACAAAAATTGCTTATATATAATAAGCATAAAATTAAAATGTCTTTTTAAAATCGAACTAAAATTGAAAAGTAAAGTTCTATGACATCAATTGGCGTAAAAGATCGACACCTAAAGGATTCAAGCACCTAAACAAAAATGAATATCTATCTATCTACGACACCAATTGCATTGCCAACATTTTTACGTTTCGCGAAATCTGATAAAATTAAGAAGATAGCGTACAAATTAATTTCAAATTTGGGCAAATAATTCTGTCAGCCAGACTTGGGTGATGCGGCCGTCAAATTATTAACCAAGTACGTACAGTGGCCAACAAAAGTGCTGGTACACCTTCAAAACGCAGTAACCTCTTAAAAACTGGACTAAGTGTCTTGAATTTTTTTAGATGATCACGGGACTGCCAGACGATGACCAAAATGCTTTTCTCAAATTTTGCTATCACTTGGAATAACAAAAAAAAAAAAAGAATAGAAAACTCTCGTTTTTTAACTTTTCTATCTGGGCCTGTAAGGGAAATTTAAAATCGATTTCGATCAAATTTCCAGCACGCATACAAGTTACCGAGATCTACGACAAGGCATTTCTTAAAATTTTTTAGACTTTATATTAAAATTCTATAGTCTATATTAGTTCTATATATTATATATATTTATTTATTATATATAGACTCTATTCTAGAGTCTATATTAAAATTTATAGACTCAGTTAAAAAGGATAAAAACCGAGAGTTTATTTTTTTTTTGTCATCCTAAGAAATAGCAAGATTAAAGACAGGCATTTTGGTCATCGTCCGATAGTGCCTCTATCACCTAAAAAAGAAAAATTCACGTTATCCAGTTGCATTTGAAACAAGTTATAACGTTTCGTAAGGTGTACGAACACTTTCGTGGGTTACTGTACATTGCCGTCGAATCGAAATGGAAAATGTACGGAAGAAGACGTTACGAAAGAGGCTGGAGGGCCTCGGCAGAGAGTATGAAGCCATGTCTGCCGGGTAATCTGGAGCACGTTTCCTCCGAGCAACCCTGTGGAGAGAGAGAGCCTAAGCGGCCGGTGATTCAACCACTTCTTCTTTTACCATGAATGGTATTGCATTGTTCCACGCTTCCGTGTAACGTACACACAGGTCGGGCTCGGGCTGGCTCGCGCGAACACGGTCGAACGTGTGCACGTGCATAGGCCAGAATTCTGCAGAAGTGGCTATCGCACGTTTTCCTCGGCGCGCAATGTTCGTGACTGGTTTTATCGCCGGCGGGGCCCTTCGTACCTCGGCCACACGAAGTTACACACGGTCATTTGTGGCGATCGCGCCAATACACGCTTCGCACGCGCGCGCGCTCGCGCTCGCGCGACCGCGACCGCTCGGAGGAGGATCGAACGAGCATTTTCGGCGGGAAGAAACCACCGCGACCGAGGCCGGTTACCCTAATCTCTGGTCCGGCCTCGGATTGCGCAACCGTTGACACGCTAACGACGCTCGGCCAGCATATCGCTGGCACAACATTCTGCTTTTTTTCACACGTTCCGCGCCACGTGAGCCCGACGACTGCGGCGGCGGCCCGAGGTGTGTTTACTCCCATGCGAAACGCGGAAAGAAAAATTGTTGCTTCCCGGAAAACCGGGGAGCTCGCGGAGATCGCGATGCCACTGGCGGATTCTGTTTGCTCTTTGGAACTCGCGATTCCAGCGAATCTGTGATTGATGGTTCGGCGGACTGGAATTCATCAGATTCGCGCGGAAGCTTAAGGAAGTTCGACGTCGAATTTCGAGTCTGTCTGATTCAGCGCGCGGTTCGGTGAATGGTTCCTAGTGTTCTATTCTTTTATGCGAATTTGCCTTTACCATTTCGCTTGAGGTTCCTCTATACAGTAATGTTTCCTTAATTGACGCTCAGATTGTCTACAAAAATGGACAATTTAGGCAGAGAAGATACGATTATTCGATCCTTGCGGTTCATTTGTTATTTTGGGTTGGCAACTAAGTAATTGCCGATTTCAGTTATAGATGTCTCTCACACCCATTTTTATGATATCCGTAAATATTATATTATAAAATTATTATTATTATTATGTTATTTTTTATTATCCGTGAATGTTAGCAACTGGACAAATTGAATGCAGCGGTCAAGGAAAAGCGACCAGAATTGGTCGATCGTAAAGGTGTCATTTTCCAGCAGGACAATGCTAGGCCGCACACGTCTTTGTCCACTCGGCAAAAATTGATGGATATTGGTTGGGAATTGACGTTACACCTGTCTCTTATACACATCTAGATGTGTATAAGAGACAGGTGTAACGTCAATTCCCAACCAATATCCATCAATTTTTGCCGAGTGGACAAAGACGTGTGCGGCCTAGCATTGTCCTGCTGGAAAATGACACCTTTACGATCGACCAATTCTGGTCGCTTTTCCTTGACCGCTGCATTCAATTTGTCCAGTTGCTAACATTCACGGATAATAAAAAATAACATAATAATAATAATAATTTTATAATATAATATTTACGGATATCATAAAAATGGGTGTGAGAGACATCTATAACTGAAATCGGCAATTACTTAGTTGCCAACCCAAAATAACAAATGAACCGCAAGGATCGAATAATCGTATCTTCTCTGCCTAAATTGTCCATTTTTGTGTACAATCTGAGCGCTGTCTCTTATACACATCTAGATGTGTATAAGAGACAGGTGTAACGTCAATTCCCAACCAATATCCATCAATTTTTGCCGAGTGGACAAAGACGTGTGCGGCCTAGCATTGTCCTGCTGGAAAATGACACCTTTACGATCGACCAATTCTGGTCGCTTTTCCTTGACCGCTGCATTCAATTTGTCCAGTTGCTAACATTCACGGATAATAAAAAATAACATAATAATAATAATAATTTTATAATATAATATTTACGGATATCATAAAAATGGGTGTGAGAGACATCTATAACTGAAATCGGCAATTACTTAGTTGCCAACCCAAAATAACAAATGAACCGCAAGGATCGAATAATCGTATCTTCTCTGCCTAAATTGTCCATTTTTGTGTACAATCTGAGCGCTGTCTCTTATACACATCTAGATGTGTATAAGAGACAGGTGTAACGTCAATTCCCAACCAATATCCATCAATTTTTGCCGAGTGGACAAAGACGTGTGCGGCCTAGCATTGTCCTGCTGGAAAATGACACCTTTACGATCGACCAATTCTGGTCGCTTTTCCTTGACCGCTGCATTCAATTTGTCCAGTTGCTAACATTCACGGATAATAAAAAATAACATAATAATAATAATAATTTTATAATATAATATTTACGGATATCATAAAAATGGGTGTGAGAGACATCTATAACTGAAATCGGCAATTACTTAGTTGCCAACCCAAAATAACAAATGAACCGCAAGGATCGAATAATCGTATCTTCTCTGCCTAAATTGTCCATTTTTGTGTACAATCTGAGCGCTGTCTCTTATACACATCTGGTGTGAGAGACATCTATAACTGAAATCGGCAATTACTTAGTTGCCAACCCAATAGTTACGAATTGTCATCAGCTATAAAAACGAGCTGCAAGGCTCGAACAATCTTATCTTCTCTTCCCAAATTGTCCATTTTTGTGTACAATCTGAGCATCAGTAAGGGAGACATTACTTTATTTCTATTTTTAACGCTATTTTCAACATAAAGGTAACAATAAGACTCTTGTAATGATTTCGAACGAGTGTCGTTGCAATAATTGCCGTAACGCATATATTAAATAAATAACTCATAGCAAATGTACGTTTACAATCTGAATAATCGTAAATTGTAAAATTAGTCGTTTTAACGGATCCCGTAAACCTGAACTGCTTTGATAGTTTGAAATTCGCCGATGTCCGACTGCGAACGTCAAAATCTACTGACGTTATTGCACAAATCAAATTCTAGACAGTCGCTAATCTTTATTAAGTTTCCACTACGAAATCATTTTAACACTTTGACTGCCGCGTCAACATGCTCGAACGTTTCATAAAATCAAAGCATTTTCTTCAATCAAATTAAAGCTGTGTGGCAGCAATTACTTTGTCAACACTCTTATATTTTGCAGATCCTGATGAAACTAGGAAGATACAAGAGATTAGCGTAAAAATTGACTTTCAGATCTGAGCACATAGTTCGATCATCCATATATGGATGATATGTCAGTCGAAGTGTTAATAAAGCTTTGAAAAATTCGTTGTCTGACCACAAACATTTCAATCTACCGAGACCATTGTGCAAATTCGAGACTCCGATTTTCCGCAAATCTTCATTATCTGACCATAAACAACCAAATCTACTAGACTACGATTCTTTTTTCTAAAAAAACTCGTTCCCGCTCATTCTTATCGACAAAGTTTTTGGACCATTTTTCTAGCAGCCTCGCAGCCTTCCTAAACGAAGATCGCGCGAGGGATCCGCGCGCGTGGCCGCGTATCCGCGGCGCGCCGCGCTCAAAGCGCGATCGAGCGACGGTGTTTGCAGCTTCGTGGCGGACGTGGACCGAGATAACACATGAAAATAGTACACCAGCAAACGATAACACGCATTCGGTTATATCTGCCGCGGCGTCGTTCCTCGGCCGGGCCGCGCGATATTGAATCGCGCGCGTTCTCCGCGATTGCGGACGGGCTCTCGCAAAACTGCGGGGCACCCTTGTTCGTCGACGTTGCCGCTGGCTCTTTCGACGTTCGGAGGGGGGTCACGAGGGGCCAGGGGACCGCACGCGAGAGGTTCGCGCACGTTACCACACGATAATGATAACCGGGTGCATTGAATCGGCGTCGCCGAGGTCGTTTACACGCGCGCGCGCGCACGCCTCGGATCAGCGATGAGTATGACGTTGTTGGTGTTGTTGTTAATCTTACCTAAGCAACATGGCAGAGTCACTTCACGTAGAAGACTGTCGATGCTCGAACGCTATATCGCTAGCATGCTGCTGCCAATCGGTGCTCTTCGCGGTTTCAGCCTGAACTTCTAACAGCCACCTGAAAGAGAACATTGAAAGGCGACACGTTTTAGTCGTTCTTTATCTTGCGGTTTCGGATCGCCTCTACCCGCGGGTACAAGCTCCGGGAAGGGAAAGGAGAATCGCGTGTTTGCTCGCTCGATTGAGCTGTTCCGGAGCTGTCGACCGACGCGGTCTTTCCCTCCGTAATGTCGCGCGACTTTAAACGCGACGGCGGATCGACGCTTGGAAAAAAGCGTCCGAATGCGAACCGTTTCGTGCCGTGATATTAAAGCTCGGCTGGAAATTGTTGCGCAGGGCTTTTGTTACGAATTAATTATCATGGGGAGCCTAAGAATCGAGATGTATCTGTTCGAGTCGACGCGTCACACATGTGCGACGATCTTATTTAATTTGGCGATTTATGTAAAATTATTAAATATTAATAATATATAGCATATTTAGAGAATTTATAGACGACGTTTCTATCATATTTTCCAAGAAAAAGATTTGACGCTCAAATTATGCACAAAAATGGATAATTTGGGAAGAGGAGATGTTATTCGAGCTTTACACCTCGTTTTTATTATTGACAATTGGCAACTATAAAAATGAGCCGCGAGGCTCATCGTAATTTTCTTCTCCCAAATTGTCCATTTTTGTGTACAATTTGAGCGTCAATTAGGGCGTCAATTTACTATTTAATACAATAAATGCAAGCGAACGTGTTAAAGTTCTTGCAGTAACTTCTATTATAGGCTCTGCAACGATGTGTTCGAGGTTATTTGTGCGTCCCGAAACGGTTTCGAATCAATGCAATACGATATTTGTCGTACAGTTTATTTATACGCGATTTCAGCTCGTACTTTCTTTTTTGTCCCACGATGGCGACATACTTCGGAACTCGTAAAATTGCGCGCGTTCGAGATACAACGGCGTGCAGAAAGTTTCCGGCCAGAAAAGTTCAGCGATCTATATTTAGAGAGCGATATCTGAAGGAATGTTAATTAATATCGTATGCAGAACAACAAACAAATCCGAGTTTTATTCTGCTCAGAGTTCTCGGTAAACAGCCTCTTAGCTATCGCGGTCAGAACGCGAAGTGAAAAGTGTATCTGACCGGAAATTTTTGTACGTTGAAACAAATTTCGCGCGTCTTTAACCCTTCTTGCGCTTTGAATAACTAGAATAATGCCGTAACTAGACAATTAATGTGCTTAAAATAATTTGATATAGAAATAATAAATTAGAAAAGATAATAATTTAATATTTTTAATCGAACCTCTTAACTACTATTGCGAGTCTGTGAGATCGCTATTAATTGATACTTATTCAGCTGCGGTGATAATAGAATTGTAAGAAAAATTGTCCAGAAAGAGAACGTTTTTAATGCACTCGCTTCTATTCAATCGAACTTGAACCACTTCGTTATTAAAACGTAAGAACAAAGAGCAAAGTAAGAACAATCGATTTCAATATTTTATTTACCACTTTTATGGCAACAATAACGCAACAATCATTAGCGGTCTGCGAGATCGCCAATAGTGATTGCGTAAGTTTTAGTAGAATATAGTTAAAGGTTCAGAAATTCCTAAATTGTGTACGACCCAAGCAGATGCAGTTTCTGAAATGCGGTTTTTATTGGAACATGTAAGCTGTCTATATTTTAGAAAGAAAGTCATTAAACGTAATAAATAAGGTCTCTAGCAATTCTCGCAACATTTTCCTTCCACCTAATCCTTCCATTGTTCGAAACTTCGCCGCCCCATTTTAGCCATAAATGCGTCATAAGATCCGCGCGGTGTAAGAGAAACCAGTCGTCGAACAGACCGGCACACCGGCGAGGGTAGCTTCCCCCAACAAAGCACGTAATCCGAGCTGTCTGGCAAATTAATTACAGCCCGTGGTTCACCGCGGAGCTTCATTTAGCATCCCCTATTCGAGGCGAGGTCTGGCGGCGACCGTGGCCGCGCCATAGTTCATCGATGCGCCCGGGAAGAAAGGAATTCCGCACGGACATCGATTTCCACGCGACCAGCAAAAAAACGTTCGCGCGAACTTCATTGTTGGTGCGTTCGGCCAGCGACGGTCACGTGTGAACACACCTGCCGGGGGCGCGTGTCACGTTCATTTGCGCCGGCGATGTTGGCGCGGCGCTCGTAAATGTAATCGCGAGTCAATTAAGGCGACACTCACGGATTTCTAATCGGTCGGGCCATGCGAGAGCCGGATTATGTCAGCCGCTGGCACGCCGACGATTTTAATCGATCGATCCACGCGAGAGACCGACCCGCGCGACGGCCAACCCGTTCGCCCGTGTCTCGTTTCCATTCCGTTTTTCCCCGGCAAGCCTCCTTTTTCCCATCCTTTTCCTCTCTCTCTCTCTCTCTTTCCCTCCGCGGCCACGGTTTACATTTACGTAACGCCGCGGACGAGGATCGCGTATTAATTACACCAGCTGCGTAGACACGCGGCCCTGAGGAAAAGTTCGAGCACGATGGATCTTCGATAGCCGTCGATCAGGCGCGGAGGAGCCGAGGGTCTCCTTTTCGCTGCTGAGATAAGCTTTCGAGTCTGTACCGTCGGGACCTCGATTAACCGGCTTTGTTGCGGCCGAAGCAGCTACGGATAAACCGAGATCCATCGGATAATCGAGACCCGAGGCAGAAAAACTGGAAATCTCATTTATGCATTTAATGGACATATTTTATTTAGAATATGTTATTTTTTTATACGGCGAGTTTGTTAATTTTGCGGCAATAATTGCATTGTGCAAATCAGAGTTGACTATTATACGAATAATTTTATTCAATATAATTTGATTGAAATAATGTCTCGAATAAATTGTATTAATACAATTTTATTGTATAAAGTGAATTCTATTAATTTTGTTCGAGCAACATTTCGAGTAAATTTTACTAATGCAATTTTATTTGAGCAATATATCGAATAAATTTTACTAATGCAATTTTATTCGAGCAATATTTCGAATAGATTCTACTAATACAATTTTATTCAAGCAATATATTGAATAAATTCTACTAATGCAATTTTATTCGAGTAATATCTCGAATAAATTCTTTTAATATAATTTTATTCGAGCAATATCTCGAATAAATTCTACTAATACAATTTTATATTCGAGTAATATTTCGAATAAATTCTACTAATGCAATTTTATTCGAGTAATATCTCGAGTAAATTCTATTAATATAATTTTATTCGAGCAATATCTCGAATAAATTCTACTAATACAATTTTATATTCGAGTAATATTTCGAATAAATTCTACTAATGCAATTTTATTCGAGTAATATCTCGAGTAAATTCTATTAATATAATTTTATTCGAGCAATATCTCGAATAAATTCTACTAATACAATTTTATATTCGAGTAATATTTCGAATAAATTCTACTAATGCAATTTTATTCGAGTAATATCTCGAGTAAATTCTATTAATATAATTTTATTCGAGCAATATCTCGAATAAATTCTACTAATACAATTTTATATTCGAGTAATATTTCGAATAAATTCTACTAATGCAATTTTATTCGAGTAATATCTCGAGTAAATTCTATTAATATAATTTTATTCGAGCAATATCTCGAATAAATTCTACTAATACAATTTTATATTCGAGTAATATTTCGAATAAATTCTACTAATGCAATTTTATTCGAGTAATATCTCGAGTAAATTCTATTAATATAATTTTATTCGAGCAATATCTCGAATAAATTCTACTAATACAATTTTATATTCGAGTAATATTTCGAATAAATTCTACTAATGCAATTTTATTCGAGTAATATCTCGAGTAAATTCTATTAATATAATTTTATTCGAGCAATATCTCGAATAAATTCTACTAATACAATTTTATATTCGAGTAATATTTCGAATAAATTCTACTAATGCAATTTTATTCGAGTAATATCTCGAGTAAATTCTATTAATATAATTTTATTCGAGCAATATCTCGAATAAATTCTACTAATACAATTTTATATTCGAGTAATATTTCGAATAAATTCTACTAATGCAATTTTATTCGAGTAATATCTCGAATAAATTCTACTAATGCAATTTTATTCGAGCAATATCTCGAGTAAATTCTACTAATGCAATTTTATTCGAGCAATATCTCGAATAAATTCTACTAATACAATTTTATTCAAGCAATATTTTGAATATATTCTACTAATATAATTTCATTCGAGCAATATTTTGAATAAATTCTACCAATGCAATTTTATTCGATCAACATCTCGAACAAATTCTACTAATACAATTTTATTCGAGCAATACCTCGAATAAATTCTTCGCATAAAATTTCATTCTATTAATATTTCGAATAAATTCTTCGCATAAAATTTCATTCGGCTATCTCGAATAAAATCTAATCCAACATATATTTCGAATAAAATTTCATTTGAAAAGCAATTCCTTTTTCCAAAATGTATCGAACCCCTTTCACAGCCTTTCCCCGGTTGAACAGTGACCGAGTAACTCCCGACCAATCAGAATTAGCTTTTTTCTCATAGAAGAGACAAGATAGACCGCCACAAGGTCCGTAGTATCATCATCGCCCAGATCGCCGCCAAGATAAACAGCGTTTCGAACGCCGAAAGATATCTCTTGGTATTTTTCTCGGTGTCCGGAGGACCGTTTAAACCGATAGCTACCGACGACTCGGGCGATCTTAATTCACAGTGAAACCGGAACGAATGCCCGTAGCAGCCGTAACGAGTTGCCACGCTTCGATCCCGAAGGGAATCGAGTCGAGCGGAGTCGGTTCGAGTCGAGTCGAGCCGAGTCGAGTCAAATCGCGTCTCGTCACGGCGAGCCGGGAACACCCACATAGCACTGGAAGGCAGAATACGTAGGTGATTTCACTGTTCCGGCACACGGCGGTGTGCATCGGATAAGAGAGACGAGCCGGAGTCCAGATATAGACCTGCTGTAGGTAATAGTTCGGTAGGTAGTAGTAGTAGCGCGAGCGGTAGGACCGGTAGGTTTGGTTTACGTCAAGTTC